TATTTCTGAGCTCACACTAACTCAGTGCACATACTTGTGGCTGTTGAGTTCATGCACTTCTTAACAGTACACAAATAGCTCCTTTTGTAACAGAGCAAAAGACAAAAATACTTCTATAAATTTGAAAATATAGTTTCAAAATGACAAAAAAAGGGGCAAAAGCTGCTTACTGCTGCTAAACTTCCCAAGACTTCATGGCAACAAAGTGCCTGTCAATAACAGCCAGAGGAAAAGGGTTTCCAACTACTTTGTTACACCATATCACACTCTGAATGCTCTGATTATTTGCATTTGTATCAGCTACTTTATCTGGGGCATTTTTAAAAGCAGTATTGAATCCAGCTCCATAATTCAAGACTAACTTTTATTTCCCTAGGCCAACACAAAAAATTGAGTATTGATCTTGACAACTGCTCCTTTTTCCAGGAGCTAAATCACATCCTCTGCTGATTAACCCAGGCTCCAGCAGCTTATTTTAAGGGATGGGCTGCATTAGAGCCATTGGAATTTTTTCATATGAGGACAAACCTTCCATTACCATAAGCCTGTTCTAAGAAGAATCATTGCCACACATTTCTGGGGGGCAGATTATGGGGTTTTCAGGACTTTTCCTCCCCTCCCATTCCTTACCAAACAATTTTGCTGTCAGACTGGGGAGTTTCCTGCTTCCGAACCACAAGGTCACAAAACCTTCCTCATTTTACAGGTCACCTGTTGCCATCATCCAAAAAGGCAGAGAATTATAGAATCTTTAGGGCTGGAAAAGCCCTCTAAGATCATCGAGTCCAACCATGAAGCCACAGCACCACCATGTCCACCACTAAACCATCTCCCCAGGGGCCACATCCACACACCTTTTGAACATTTCCAGGGATGAGTGGCCTGTTCCAGGGCTTGACAACCCTCTCAATGAAGAATTTTTCATCTAAACCTTCCCTGACACAACTTGAGGCCATTTCCACTTGTTCCCTGGGAGCAGAGCCCGACCCTCATCGGGCTGCACCCTCCTTTGAGGGACTTGTAGAGAGCAACAAGGTCCCTCTGAGCCTCCTTTTCTTCAGTCTGAACAACTGATGAAGAAGCAGCCAGTGTTCTAATGGAGTGAATGGGAAGCTAATGTTCAAGGCAGCTTTCCAGACAGTATTTTAATCAGGACTAAATATTAATTGTAAAGAAAGTCTTTTCTCTGTCCCTTTATTAATATTCATTTAAATGTTACTCTCTGGTCTTGCTTTTCGCCCGAGTTCGTCCCACCAGAAGGCAAACACTTTTCAGATGATGATCCCCCCAAGATGATGACCTCAATTGCAAGCTCTGCCCTTTTCCCCCATCCACCAGAGGCAAAAAGGTCTTTCCATTATTCTGCTTATCTGTGGAAAACTAAAGAAAGAAAAAAAAAAAGCAGGGGAATAGTCAATAAGCACGGAGAAGAAAATAAGTCTCAAGCTTCCCAAAGCACACTCTGGCCAACAGAGCCCATGAAACAAGGATTTTAAAGAGCTCTGTTTATCTACAGAGGAGGGCTAAAAAACCCCCCACTGCAGTGCTGAATACAGGCACTATTGGGAACTGTATTCAAACACACCATTTTAATCCTGTTATCTCCTCAATTTACTATTCTGGGGGTAAAAACTAATGTTTTATATCTGTCTTTCCTTTAACCAACCTTCAACCCCGTGTCTGGTCTTAACCTTAAGCATTCTCTCTCTTTTCCCCATTCCCTGCTGAGTAACTCTTCCCTCTGACTGACAGTTCACTGGTTTGTGCCTCAAGGTCATTTAATCTTTTCCCGTCCTAAGTCACGACCCATCACAGTCTCTGAAAAAACAAATAACCTCAAACCCAAAACAAGCAAAAAAAAAAAAAAATAAAATAATAAAAATCATTCATGCAGGCTTTGCCATATTTTCTGGCATTTGGCTTTTCCTGGAAGGAGGCAAGCTGGGACCTAATTTCCAGTATCATTTCTAAAGATCAAATATTAATCAAGTCTTGTAATGCTGTCCTGGGGAAAACCAAAAGCATCACCAGTGGGTAACAGATGCCTGGGCACATACTGCTTATAGAAATTTGGATAAGATATTATCCAGTTTAATAAAACTTCTTTGTGCTCATTTAAAGCAGAACCTTTCATAATTAGTTTTTAGGGGTTTTATCTAATGAAAAATTTTTCAACTCCATGTAAATAACCTCCATTCAGTCTGATCAAAAATCTGAAACTCATGGATGATTTTAGTAAGAACTGCATCATGGTATAATGACTTTAAGCTCATCCTGAGCCATCCTGGCCATGCTTTTGCTCTGATTCAAGGCTGACAGTCAGAAAACAAATGAACTTTGTAAATGAGCTCCAGTTGCTTGATTTTAAGTGGAAGAAAAACATGGTCCTTCCCAATCCTTTTCTAATTTTTACTTTCATATCTAAATAAGAATCTCACTGCAACACTGAAGGCTAAATTGAAGGCTATGCCAGCACTTATTCAGCCTTCCCAGAACACAAATACTCTATGTGAAAAGAGTATTTAGTACAAGGGACATTGACTTCTCAATTTTGGAACGTTGCAGACATGTTCTGTTTATTGTTACACTGATTTCTTGCAATTTAAATAAGTAAACACTTCCCCCAGTACAGGTGATATTCTCTACTATTCCTTCTGCAGTCAATTTTGTTACCTTTATTTGTGGGCTTAATAAACAGCACAACACTAAACAGTGCAGTAAAACAGGGCTGCTCCAGTGCTTTAGTGATTGCATACAAATGTGGAGGAGTTTGGTACTTCCCTCTCTTGCTAAGGCAAAGTAATGACAAATAAAAGAACCAAGAAAATTCACTTGAAAAAAGCAGCATCACTCATCCCTCAGCTATTTAAAAACTCCTCAGTTTTCCCTGATGTCGTTCATTAGGTGCTCCCAGGAAAATCAAGGCAGCAGAGCTGTTTTCTCAGTTCAGCACATTTTTTTTAAAATCTCTACTGTGAAAGTTTTGTGTAATTATCCTCAAAATGGGGTATTTTGAAGGAGTTCCACGACATAGGGAAATTGGAATAATGAATTGCATTTTCTTGTCTATCATTTCAGTTGGCATTTGGTGCAAGTTGCACATCTTTAGCTGTTAAGTCTCTCCCTCCAAGTCCATGCTCAGACCGAGATCATTATGATTTCTCCCACCCAGTGCCCTAAAGAAAACATAAATGCCATCACCATCAATCTCAACAAGCTCTGCATGACAGCTAACATTAACAGAATGACCTTCTCCAGTTAGATTTTCATTAGGAAAATAGGATGGAAAACAGAAAGTGGCTCAGCCAATTTGAACAAATTAGCCACGTCATCCCTCTCGATGTCAGTCGATACCTGAGCTGAGCAAGGAAACTCAGCACTTTGGGACCCAGGACTAGACATCATTAAGCACAAAGTCAACATCTTGTTATTTTAACCCCTGATTTAAACCAAAGCCAGCGTCCTCTACAGGTGATGCAGAGAGGTTTGGCTGCTGCAGGGAGTGTGCCTGCAAAGGGGTGACACGATGAGCTACAGAGCAAATCTCAGCATGCTGTATCTCCATTGGCAAATGCACAGCCCCAGGCCAGGCCTGCAGTTATTTCTGGTGATGGTCAGAGAATTTGACCACACTAGTGCAGGAGAAGAAAGCCAAAGGATGAGCAGCAGAGCATGTGCCAACTTTCCTAAATAGGCTGGGACATCTTCCATGTCACTCCACGCTTTCCACAAAGCTGCGGCACAAAGCCTCTAAACATCTGATGGACAGGGCAAACACCTCTGTGTGCCAGGGCCTCATGCTCAGATTTATTTATTTTGAACCAAATCTCCTCAAACAGACACCAAATATTCACTGATTTATAACCTGTATAATAAAGGATGTGCCCCATACACACCCAACAACACAATCAACTTGCCAGGCTTCCTCCCTTGGTAGAGGAAGGGGGTGCTCCTGCTGTGGACAGTGGGTGAGGACCACTAACATTTCCCTGCTTAATCCCATCCCAGGATGGCATTTGGCTGCTCTGGATGCCTTCCTCACACTTCAGTCTTGATTATTTTGTCAGAAAAAGTAACTGGAACCAAGATGGTTTTGTGTAAGATTTCCACTGCTCAAATCCGCTTGCTGTAAAAACCACTGATTTGTGGGGAGGGAAAAAAGGTTATGGAAAAAAGAAGAGCAATCTTTTAGTCTCTGTCCTTTGTTTCTTCCACAGTAAGGACCTTGGAAAAAAATTACAAAAATGCAAACTTTGAGAAGACAGTTGCGTGCTGGAAAAAAACTGGGAGGCAGAAAAGTGCTTTGCTCATCCCCTTGCCAGGCAGAGCTTGATTTCCCTTAATGGCTAATGATTAATGTATGACAACAGAGTGCACAGCCAATATATCTGAAACATGAGGAACATGATCCTTTAGATTTTCCTGGGAAGGCTTAGAAAGAAGATAGACTCCTTCTGTCCCTGGATCAAAATTGATCCACTCCAATACGAAAGAGAAGAGGAGGATGGTGCACAGTGTTTGAACAGGTTTCTCTGTCAGAAGTGAGGAGAAGAATCATCTCCATCAAATGGAACACAAAAATGCATTTTAAAAACTAAATGCTTCCTCTTTCACCACACTGCCCTCAAACTGGTATCAGTGTCAAGGTGTTAATAAACACTCCTGATTCATTACCCAAGAACTTGTTATGCAAAATTTTGTTATGCACTTAGAGGTGAATATTAAATAACAGACTGGCCTTAAGAACAATTTTGGTTAGAAAACTCTCATCTCTGCCCATTTCAACAAAAAGCAGCCACACACTGAGGCAAAAGTTTGTCAAATACACCACGTGCATAAAACCAACACCTGCCTAGGGAATAAAATATAAACTATTCTAGGATGCATCTAAATCCATAATGTCAATTCAGATAGCACACCTACAGCAAGGATTTGTGGAGGAGCACCCATTACCCTGTGAGGAAGGGAACCAAAGTGTCCCAAAGCAGCAGCAATCCTACCTGCACACTTGGTCCTGGTGGTGAGGGGGGGCCCGGGGGGGCCTGTTCCTCCTTCCCCGGGGCGCGTGAGCAGCACCCGGATCTCGTACTCCACATCGGGGTCCAAGTGCCACAGTTTGTAGTTGGGGGAGTCCACGATGTGAGTCTCTGCCCAGTTGCCCGTGGTTGTCCGATACTCCACCTCCTTGAGGATGATGGGCCCGTCCCCGATGATGGAGTTGGCGTTGGGTTTGATCCACAGGTACGTGGCTCCCACGGCCAGGAGCTCCGGAGGGGCGATGGGAGTGGGGGGCTCTGGAGACAAAAAGAAATCAAGGAATTCTGTCAGAAAGATCCATTTTCCACTACATATCCGTGTAGCAAGGCTGTCCCCAAAATCTCTTGTCATCATCATCATCATGGTTAGGCTTCGCGAACAAAGATTTGGGAAGGGCACTACCCACGTTTGTCCCCAAAATCTCTTGTAACACAGGCACAATTTACCAAATCTTTTATAAGAATTTAATCCGTTCCTGAAAAGAACTGTACTTTTTTGCTGCTAAAAATTCAGCCCCTTTTACTGGGGGTAGTATTACCAATTCAGAAACACCTGCAGTAACCACAAAGCAACCTCTGTTTAAAATAAAACACAAAAGTCACTTCTAAAAGATCACAAGGTTTATACTTGTTCCCTCTTTTAAGCATCTGAGCAATAGCACTCAATATAATACTGGAGGGTGAGGGGGCAGAAGGAAGTCTAATTTAAGACAAACGAGTGCATTTAACGTATTCCATGAATGAAAAGGCTCCAGTACAGCCCTTTCTCTGCCCTGTGACCTGACACAGAAGAATATCCCAATCACTGATCTGTGGTTCAGCCACATTCTCATGCTTAACATGGCACAATTAGCAGTGAGTGGAAAACTCAGATCACTTGTTCATTTTCTGATTTCAACAAGCAAAATCCAGGTTAAAGACGGGATGTAATTTCTAAGTAAAGCACTGGCTGTGTGTTTGAGACAATCCTAGCAAATTTAAACACTAGAGATCTTCCCATGACCAGTGATACCACAAATGGCTTAAACTGGGGCTCCTGAAAACTGAGAACTAAGAAAACCTCGAAGGCAACAGTGAATCGACACCTCCTGTCATGTTTCATTGCAAAGCTTCCTTAACCTCACAAGCAAAGGTACTCAAGAAAGTCTGCATGAGACTTGAAGAGGGTCTGGATGTCTGAGAAGCAGCATGAGGAGGCAGAACTCGGCTGCTGAGCATCACCTCTGTGAGAAAAAGCAAAGCAAGCTGATAAAAGACATCTCAGCAGCTCCCTTTGATGGGAGCTACAAAAAAATAAAATACAATCTACAGAGCTCTGGCTGCCTGCCTGATTTTTATTATTCCTTTTCTCCTCTCCGTCAGTGTATAAATAACACTTGCAATACTGGAAACCACACGAACAGTGTACACTTTGTGGTTTGGAAAACCTGAGCTGAACTGGGCAGGATCATGAGCAATTTCCTGGATCTCATCAAGTCTTCCCTCTGCTCCACTCTGATGTGGTTTGCCCTCAGCCCAGAGGACACAAACTCTATTCTCTTATGAAGATAAGGTGACAAAAAAGAAGGTTTTTATCATGAGGGTGCTGAAACACTGGCACAGGTTGCCCAGAGAAGCTGTGGCTGCCCCATCCCTGGAAGTGTCCAAGGCCCGGTTGGATGGGGCTTGGAGCAACCTGGGCTGGTGGAAGGTGTCCCTGCCCATGGCAGGGGGTGGGATGAGATGGTCTTTAAGATCCCTGCCAACCCAAACCATCCTGTGATCCTCATCTCAGAAAAAGAAACCTATAAATGTAACAACATACCAATAATTTAAAGTTCCATGAGAGTTACTCTAAATTCCTCTTTTAAAGGTGATCCCTCAAAGAACCCGGAAAACTGAAACAATGCAGGACCCACAAAAACGTGGAAGGAAAAAGTTTGAGCACCCCATAACAGGAAGAAGATTCTTGCAGATTAACATCTGCTCAGTGAAGAGAAACAAATGCACAGAAACCTTTATTATACAAAATGATCAACTGAAATGTTACTTAATTTCATTTCCTCTGGCTAATACTAATTACAAGGAGCCCTGCTACCTCCTAGGGATTGACTGCAGGAGTTGTACATTGTACCTCTGCAAAAAAAAAAAAAAGCAATCTGAATTGTAATTGCAGCAGGAATCCAACATTTACAAAAACAGTGACACCAGCTATGTTTTCTGTGGAATGTTTATTTTTGTTTTTACTCTGTCCTCTTCCCCTAACTCCTGCCAGAATCTCTTTATGCTATGAAATGCCAAGCTGATTATGTTTTGACTTACTGAGGTTATTTCTCCAAGAAAACTGTTTTCAAGAAACGCATGCAGATACGTTTTCATTAAAAATCAAATTATTATAAATCACAAGCAGCTTATTACTTGTTTCCTGGTGCAAGACAATTAAAAGACAGACTCAGTGATTTTTATTCCCAATGCAGAAATGACATCTTACAAGTCACATCACAAGACAAATGAAATATTAAACTCCATTCTCCTGGGCTGCACATTTCAATAGCAACGTGATCCAGGTTTCTTTGGGATTTGATGGCAAGTTAGAAGAGATTTATGGGACTGAGCTTAATTAATAGAGCAGTTTATCCTGCTGAACAGACATGAAAATCTCATCTAACAAGTTTAGAAACTACAATTGCCAAACTGATTTAAATTAAGATGTCACACAGCATTACCATCTTCTCTATTTTAGTCCAAATCTAAACCTTCCTCACCAAACAGAACTGTAATGGTGGGTTTCTCCCTTCCCCTCGCCCCCATTAATTTTCCCCTTTCTGTACCATTTGAAAAACAGGTGCTGTAAAATATTCTAAAACTAGGAATTTAAAGTGTTGCTCCCATTTTCTGAATTTAAGAAATTAAGATAAGCAGCCATTACAATAGTTACTCAGGGCTCAATCCCACCTCACTGAAAATAATGAATTCTTTCCTACTGGCACCAACTGGAGAAGCAGCTTTTTTTTAATATCACTGTGCCAAATGACTACAAGTGATCTAAACAAGTTATCCATTATTTAGCAAACTGGCATAGAAAAAAGGCCCATTTTTTGCCCTGTGTTCCAAACCCCACTTGTCAGTCACAGATGACCAGCCTGACATTACGAGCTCACTGTTTTAATTAAAATCTCTATGGGACCTTGATTAAATAAACGTGGTGACAGATTGGCCTTTTACACATGGAAGTGTGAACAACAGTATTTTAAGCCCCATTTCATGCCAACACTATTTTATATTACAGGCTTTGTCTTGCCTGTTGCTCCTTTTCAGGCATTGTCTCATCCCCCTCCAGACAGGGAGGAGGAAGCCACTGGTACCCCAGGAACAAACACATCTGGAACTGGATTGCTGCAGCTGGAATATCCACCCTGAATCCCAGACTTGGGAAGGACACAGAAAAATCATGGGAGCTCTCTTTTAAGGAAACAAAAGTAGTAGTACAGGCTCAAAAAAAGGGGGTTATTGACCACGAGTAGATTTTATTGTATGTGCAAAGCGGGTCCAGTTGTGCAGACACAAAGGGAATTTGGGATGTGCCTTTGTCCTCCCACTGGAAAAGGAAATACGGCTCAGAAGGCTGAACACTGTTAGAGTTGTAAAATGACATGAATTTTACTAATACAGAGCGTGAGAAAACAAAACTATCAGGAGGCACAAACCAGAAACCACACAGAACCACAGAGTGTCTCGAGCTGGAAGGAACCCATGAGGATCATCAAATCCAACTCCCTGCTCCTCACAGAACCACCTAAAACTCCTAAAACACGTAGTGACAGGACAAGGGGTGATGGTTTTAAACTGCCAGAGGGCAGGGTTAGATGGGACATGGGGAAGGAATCCTTCCCTGTGAGGGTGGGGAGGCCCTGGCACAGGTTGCCCAGAGAAGCTGTGGCTGCCCCTGGATCCCTGGAAGTGTCCAAGGCCAGGTTAGACAGGGCTTGGAGCAAACTGGGCTAGTGGGAGGTGTCCCTGAGCTTTAATGTCCTTTCCAACCCAAACCATCCATGACTAACATCATCATCCAGACACTTCCTGAACTCTGAAAGGCCTGGTGCCACCAACACTCTACTTCCCAACTATTATGGAAAACACATGTACTTTACTCTTGGGCAACAGTTCCTGAGTGTTTCTACTCTACCACTGGAATATTTCTCTATTTGACTCTCTAAGCAATTTTCAGATGATGGAAGAAAAATGGGTTCCATGAATCCTGAAGATGCAACTGGGAAGAGTGAAAAACTAGAGAAAAATCCTTGTCACTGTCTCCTGGGAAATAACTCATAAAAAAAAGACAGTATAGAAAATGTAATCTTAAAGCAGCTGCAGAAACCTCTTAAGCTATGGATTTTATATTAATAACATTCAATTTTTTTTTAATTACTACCTTGTTCATAACAAACCCACCTGATAACTCATACAGCCAAGGTGACCATGAACTCTCATTTGCATGGGATGGGCTAGGGATGGTTTTAGACAAAAAGAGCCCCCAGTGCTACAAAACTCTGGTACATGACCAAGTTCAACAATTCTGTTTCTGAAGTGCCACCCTGGGCTCCCTCGTTTCGTTCCTGTTTTGTTTTCTCACATGCACACAACATACAGCACGGGTCTAAAAATAACATCAGAAGAGACACATTTTTTTCTTATCCTCTGGGGAATGGAGAGGTGGGATGGGAGCTGCTCTCAAAAGACATTTGCCTGACAAGCAGGGTCTGTGTTTTCAAACATGATACTGCTTATTCCCCTACTAATGGGAATTGTAAGCTTTTCTCACCACGTCCCAAATGAGCAGCTGTGGACTGTGCCTGCCAAATGGATAAGGATGGCACTGGAAGGCAAGGAAACCAAATTTCAAGCTCCTCAAAACTCTTTTTAAGCAAAAAAAATACAGAACAAAATGCATTTATAGAGTTTTGTACAAAAAGCAAGACTGTCTGAGCAGCATCCTTCCAGTTTTACACCACAGCAATGAGCAGACTGATCCCTGAATGTGGGTATTTATACTGGCAGTGTTTATCAGCACACTTTTACCACTGCCACAAATGCAGCAGGTGAATTTTGTTTTCCAGTGATTGTCCAAACTTCCACTTATTGCACAAAAAAAAAATTTTACAGTATTTAACGAGATGATTTCACTGTGCTGACACTGCACTAATAGTTTTTGTCTAAAGGAGAGAGACTCAGATGTGTCTCACAGTGATGTGACAGCTTGACAGCAGTGGCACGTGCCA